CAAACGAACCGACGAGCGGCAACTGAGCGAGCGAGCGCCGACCTTGAGTATATATACAGCACGACGGCGCATGCACTGTCAGCTGTTGAATGTCCTCGAAGCGCGACGCCACATGCGCGTCCACTGGAGAATCAGGAGAATTGTAGATGTCGAACGCGGTGTGTAGAGGAGGAAGGGTGCACAGATGGTGGAGGAGTGAAGCGCGCGCGGTGTGTAGAGGAGGAAGGGATGCACAGATGGTGGAAGAGTGGGCGACGGCGCGACGGCGCATGCGCGCGCGTCAGCTGTCGAATGTTCGAGAAGCGGTGCGGACGGCGCGGACGGCGCACTACAAGGCGCGAGTATAAGATGCTTCCGCATCTAAAAAAACCAAGAGCGGCGGTGCTATAGCGTGTTCAGTGGGTCACTGCCCCGCGAAAACTTCAATAAGGCCTTGACTGGTTTTTTGTGAAGACGCTTTGCGAAGGCATTCGAGTCGGCAAGTTCCAAACAGCTCCTATGACCATGCATATTATAGTTTTAACAAGAGACGCAATGTTGAAGGGGACTGCTTAGAGAATACGGAGGAGAAAAAAGAGCAGAGAAGGACATATCGAAAGAGATGAAAGAACAACGCAAGATAATAGACAAAGATGCAGAAAGATGTAAATAGATCAAGGAAGGAATAAAGTAAATAAAAGAGAAAGAAAAATGTGGTGAAAGAATAAAGAACACGAATTGCATTCCTCAAGTGGTGCTGCTTGCTTGCCATCTCTGCTGTATTGCAATGGCATGCAACTGACTGCTTTTTTGATGAAAAACTACCGCAACTGTTTTGGGTTATATTTATTGTACTTTTTTAATTATTATTTTGGGTTAACTAATTGTAAGTTGTTGTTCAGGCTCTACGGTCGTATCTAAATACGACGGAGCTTTATCCGGCACAAGTCCTTGAACTTTGATATGTATGACTTCGCATGTGAAAATGCACGCGGAAGCAGGCAAGCACAAGGACGGACATGCATAAAGAGTGATAGAAATGCCCTCCCCCCACTCCCCCCCCCCCCCCCCCCCCACAAAAAAAGTTTGGATACACTCCTTAGTCTCGCTGTCCGTAAAACAAAACCCTTCAATTACTTTAAAAGATCGTGGAAAAACTCTTTAAAGGGTCCTGCAAAACTGAATATATTCTAAAAACGAGCTTGTTTCGAGAACGCTAGGGCGATCGGTAGTCGGGGCTCCTCCACAGGATGTCAGGAGAAATTAAAGCACTGCAAGTCAGTCACTTCAAATTAACGTTTATTCTTATTATCAGCTAGAAACCACTTTCTATTCACTCTACAAATGATGCCAAAAATCCAAATGGCCGTATTGAGGAGAAAAAAAAATACGGCGCAAAGAGGATAGAGGTGGAGCAAAAGGACAGTTATAACTGACTGACACTGACGCAATCTTCCTACTGTTCCTTAACAGTAGCCACATAAGTTTATAGAAGCCCTCAAACAAGGTAATCTCATAACTAAAATACTGACCTGAAAAAACAACCAAATCATAATGGATCACTACAAATGAGCCAGGGTATGCGCCGAAAACTACACCGAACTGAACAAAAAAAATCAGTGCGCACGGTAGTTCGTTTATTCGTTGTCCTCTGTTTTATCTGTCCTCTTTGTGCTGTATCTTGCTTAAGTATGAACCAACTAGCTCCGCAATAATCGTTGTTGCGAAATAACCACGGCATAAACTTAAATTTCATGGTCACCGGCTGATTTTAGCGCATCTGGAAGTATATGTAGCATGGGAGCCATCAGATGGTGCCCTGTGCCTGCTTGCTCTAGTCACTGGAACGGGAAAGTGCCACGTTCGTTTTCCCTTGCTGCCGTCCGCCAGCAGCGGACTTTGCCACACGGGTGTTCCACCTCACTTGAGCGCAAGTGTTTCGGTGCACTCTCGGCCGTTTTGTTCAATGAATGAATGCCGAAGTATTATGCCGCTATATATCCGTATGAAAAACACGAGGAAAAGATGGAAACAAGAAAATGATTAGGGTAATTGTACGTGCAACTTGATTTACGTGCCACGCCTATGGTGTGCTCAAATCCGGTTGGCACGCACAATATTTACCCAAATGGTAATGGGTAGGATTACTGCGTGAATACAAATAGCAAGAGTTCTTACGTGAAACTCGTGACATGCATTGTTGGCGTTATTTACTTGCCATGATCTTGGTGGGTTCACAGCTGGTTCCCTTGCTTGACTTACTCCGAAATTGTTATAGAATTATGTGACAGTATGACGAACATAAATGTGAGATTGTAACAGGAAATATCACATGCATGTCACGGTAAGCCATGATATTCATGATTCTCAGCCTTGTTCGCTGTCTTCCTATTCACCAAATCGCTATGGCATGGTATTACTGAAAATAAATGACAGGTTGAAACTAGAAAAGATATAACCCTTGATTGTTGTCCCCAGCTGTCATTCATGTTCGTCATACAGTTGTCTGCCGCAATAGCAATCTGGGAATATACATTCTAGCGAAACGGCCACGAGCGTAACGTCAGGGCGGCATGTAAGACATGCCGCTCGTGCCATGCATGTTACCATCTGTGCTTCATGATGATCATACAGTCACATCGCACAATACCATTTTCGGTGTATATGCAGATAGCGAAGCAGCCACGAGTACACCACGAGTGTGGTGTTTGATTCATGCAGTACATGACATGCATGATATTATTTTTATGCTTGACGTGTTATTTGCGCTCGTCATACAGTCACGTAATATAATATAGTTGTTCATGTATATGAAGTTATCAAACCAGCTGCCAGTGCACCATGAGCGTGTTGATTAGTAGTCAATCATGCAGTATTTAACAAGCAAATCATGATTTTCATACTACCAGCTGTCATTTACACTGATCGTACGCATATATCTCATCAGAGCATATTTCGTCATACTTTTATTTACTCAAATGGCCGCGACAAACCGTGGAACACGTAATACAAAGCAAGTTGTACGTGTAATCGTGACATAATTTGCAGATGAAGGCCAGTCGAGTTCATCCTGCTATCTGGGGACGCTATAGTAAATCTGGTACGAGAAAATGTGGACGAGACTGGCCTCAATGGCACCAAAGCAGTGGCATGTAAATTGTGGGGCTCATCACATGCAGGCATCGCATGCATTTTCACATTATGACCTGGCATTTCTATTAGCCATGTTATACTATACGAATTTTGGTACACTCCTATAGAAGAAGTGGCCAGCAAAACGTGAAGTCGCAGGTGGTCAGATAGATAGATAGATAGATAGATAGATAGATAGATAGATAGATAGATAGATAGATAGATAGATAGATAGATAGATAGATAGATAGATAGATAGATAGATAGATAGATACCAAAGGGGCTTGCAGTATGCCAAGAAATGCTTTGCATCTAAAGCAGCGCACTTTGTTCTAGTTGCGCTAACCGCAGTGGAGCTAAGTTTTTTTAGCAGTATTAGATATCTCTAGACTTAGCTATACATTTGAGGTGGCTACCTTTTATGTAATGCCAAGTTTTTAGTCACCCGACTTGTTGTTATGTGGTTCATGACGGTAACACGTCATGTGACTAGTCATTAGGCACGGTTGTGTGATTTTATTCAGCTGCCTGGATGTTGCTTAATGTTACGTGATTTTTATTTGTATGAGCAGTTAGGTGACGTGATGCAACATGATTCTAGTCATGTGACTTCATATGTGATGTTATGCGGTTGATAGTAATGTGAGTGTCGTTTTAATATGCTCGGTAATGTGACTAGTTGTTATGTTGTGTCAAGTCTTTTTGGTCATCACTACATGTTGCACCCTTTTACAATGTTTCATTCGTGTGACTAAGTGATTTTAATTTATTGTCAGTCACGTGACTAGATCTTAGGTGATTCTGATCGCACAACTATTTTATGTGATGCAACGCGAATTCTAGCGACGTAACAGTCACTCTCTGTACAGTTGCTGCATCGCAAGCCGAACAAATCAGCGCACGTGTTGTGGGAGCAAGGGAGATGCTGAAAACATATTTTCTCACTACCCGGTGCAAGAATGAGCTTCAAAAGCTCTGCTTATAAAGGAAACTGTTCAAATCTATAGCAAACCCGTGGTGAAGCTTCCATCTCCGTGCCATATCTGCCTCCTTAGCTCCAAAAACACTGACTTGGGCGAAAATAGCGATAAAGCGCTATCAACATGCTGGAATTCTCTTTAACTTTGGTGATACTTGATTTTTTTAATGAGCGACAGTGTATTCGTGAGGCAATGAACTCTTTTAATAAAACCATTGTAAGATTACTTGTAAATCAGTTGCCAGGTTATTTTAATAAATAAAATTTTCAGCCAAGAACAACAAAAGCTTAAACGTCGCAAAACATGTCAGTGAGTCTTTCGCCAAATAAGTCGAAGGAACGCACTGAATTTGCATGGTCATCCATAAAAATACTGTGCAACCGCGCACATGGGTAACACTCGAAGAGCGGTGTGCCTATGAAGCAAATTAAAGAGTCATTCAAGTAAAGGGGCGTTCGCCCCCCAGACACACTCGTAAATCACTGTTACTGAGCGCAAAGATCTGAGTTCCTGTTTATGTTGATCGATATTTACCTTAACTGAAGCACTCGCTGTTAGTAAATGCATATCTGTGACTACGCTACTGTTACAGTACAAAGTTTTTTCAAACTCTTACAAGATTTCGTAAGTGGAAGTAGCGAATCTGCAGAGATACATTGAATTTGATGAACTTACACAACTTGAAGACTTAGTAAAATTACAGTGTAATGCTGCGAATTTCCCAAAACTTACGATTCATACACCGTGCTTGCGAAAGGTTGTATACAACATAAAAGAAGCAACGCCCCGCCCCGTAAAGCTTTTTTCAGTTTTTTTTGCTATTGCAAATCTATCATATGTATTATTGCATAATGTATTATTTGTATACGCTAGTACAAATTAACAACTAAATGCAAATGTTGACCTTACCCACAGAAAAAGAAAGCAAACCATCCGGCCTAGTTGTCTTTGCTTTGTCGTCAGCATTCAAAAACCGCGAAGGGTCAAATTGTCCGGATTTTCCCATAACTGACGGTCTCTGTGGGCTGTCATCAGATTTGAAAATACCACGGTGCCCTTTCCGACATCGTAGCCGTTTATGTTCGTATCTTCTCTCACCCTGGAAAGCGAAAAAAAAAACATACAATAGTTTGTTTCTTCTAATGTATTTCTATTGTTGTCTGCTTGAGCTAGCTGTTTTTGTTTACATTGTCGTGAGTTGAATATAGTTTGTTTTATTGCAGTACAGCTTGCAGCATGCGCACCTAGACTGGCAGTCCGCGCTAAATAAACAAAACAATAACTACACCGGGTGCAAGCTTAACCATTCTGTGCCGCTTATTCTTTAACGTACCTGCTAAATTACGATTTTATATGTCCACTGCTCGTGCTTGCATGTGCACGTGATGATCTATATATTTGGTGTAGCCTTAGTATTCTTAAAATAGACACGAATGCCGTGTGTTTGCATGGTTATTATAAGAAATACTTGTGCGAAATAAGTAATTGACTGACATGTCCCATCAAATAAAGTTACTGGTACAAATGGCCAATATACAGTCGATGCCAATTCAGAGTAATGTGTTATACTAATTCATGTATCGAACATAAAATACTATATGTCAAAGCACTCAAAAATAGTGAAGGGTCAAATCAGTACGGATTTTTTGATAACTGACGGTCTCTGCCAGAAACTTACATTTGGCAAGTGTCCTTCCCCGTAGACATGCTTAAACTTTGTGCGACCACAATATAGTAGCAGGAAAGTGTATCGCGATGTACAGAAAAAAAAGCGGAACGAAATTTACCACTTATATTGTGTGTATTGGCTTACATTCTCTAAAGAAAGAATGTTTTCCGAGAATTTTACATACGCGCGAGGTATGTTGAATGGTGTAGCCAGTTTCCAGCGGAACATCTCCCATATTGTAGCCATGGTGAGTGGCATGCGCGTGTGGTCCTCCCAGTGTGGTGAGCGATCACTGCCTACCACAGTGTCAATCTCTTGTTGTAGATCAGCTTGTAGCGTGGTAGGGTGGCTGGCAACATTGAGCAGGTGCCAGTGAAGGTAAAAGTTGCCGCTAGTGGCCGCACCCATCATAATGTCGACCATGTTTCCGACAAGAGTATCCTCTGCGAAAAACAATCAGAACAGACTGTTACTTATTTTCGTACTGCTCCTGTCGATAGACTTGCCGTGTAGCCCTTGCCTATTCTTGCCCGATGGGTTTTGATTTGGTATCTCGCCGTAAAAAGCTAGTCATTTGATACTCTCGCTGTAAAAACTCACGGCATATCTACGTAGTAGGTGATAATGAGTAGGGTGAAGCGTCCGTCTAACCGTCTGTGCGTCCGTACAAATGAACGGACTGGCGAACGCATGGACGGACGCACAGATGGACGGTGGATGGAAGCACAAGCGGATGGACGGGCGGAAACACGGATGGACAGACGGACCGATAGACGCACGGACGGATGGGTGGATGGACGGATTAACGGAGATGGAAGCATGGAAGGAAGCATTAACGGGCAGACAGGTGGACAGCAGAAGCATGGACGCACGGATGAACGGACGGATGCACTGAGGCACGGGCGGACACATGAGCAGATGGACAGACGATTCGCCACATTAATCATCATTCACTCCGTGGGTATGCTCTGAAAACCACTAATGCCACTAATGCCATCCCAAGGACATATACATGCAACCCCATCTATTGAGCAAGTGAAAAAGTAGAGGTGGCTACATACGTACATACATACATACATACATACATACATACATACATACATACATACATACATACATACATACATACATACATACATACATAGCCTGCATAGTTCTTAAGTCATGACTTATAAGTGCTGTAAAGGTAGAGGAAGAACCAGGCTTACTCCTTGAAGGGTCATTGGTAGAGACAGGTTTAAGTGGCGTGGCGCTGACAGGCTCAGCATCCACAACACAAGCTACTGCAGTGCCCTCTGGCAGGAGAACTTTCTCCGGGGTTATATTCGTAGCAATGACAAACGCGGAGCCATAGTGAAAGCGTACGACACCTGACGCAAGAGCTATGCCTTTAGCGACGAAAGTCGACGAAGGGGACACCAAGACGTCACTGTGGTCGATGTCCTTAGAGATCAGGGTCACAATTCACTCTTGTTGTGGCTGTAGTTCCTGATCTTCGCGAGCGAACAGGCATAGTGGCATGTAGACGACTTTGTCGAACATGAAGTCCGTATTAGTAATGTGCAGAATCCGTTCACCACACACAAAAAATATAGCGGCTGAAGAAGAAGATAGGAAGTGCCACCCTAGAATTAGCTGGTGAGAGCACCGGGTAAGCATAGGGAACTGAATGGAATGCAGGGTGTCATCGACAAAAGCACGAGCAGTTAAAAGAGCAAAAGGGCGGATAGTGTTCCCCTGGGCTTCGACTAGAGTGGGTCCAATACAAGTTGTAATTACTTTTTAGGCGTTTGTACAAATCATATCTAATCACAGAAAGTGCAGCACCAGTGTCTACCAAAGTGTCCACGAGAACTCATTCCACCATAACAGGAACTGTGTTGAACGGGTGTGCTGGAGGAATATCAGTCCTATACTGCTACATGCAGTTCCTCCTCTGAAAACTGCATAATTTAGTTTTCCGACCCGTTATCAGTGGTAAACCAGGCTGGTCGAAGAGGAGAGGAGGAGTGACGAAAGGGCGAAGGCAATCGGCGTCGGCTTGAACGGTAAGTGTTCCGCGTTCCAGTCGACGCGGGTGGAGATGGAGACCACTGCTGTCCAGATGAATAACGCCGGGCGTAAGAATCCCCACTGGAAAAGCTCCGTTCGCGCATGTCGTACCCGTGACACTCGTCCTGCTGGCACTTGCAGCAGAAGCGCGATATATGGCAACGATATCCACAGTAAAAGCATGTTGAGCGAGACAGGTGCCAAGAAGGGTAGCAGAGGGCGTTCGGCGCACCGGGAGATAGCGCGCTTAAGTGGGCAGATAGAGGGTCGGGCGGCATTGGCAGCAACCGACGTGAACGATGGCAGCGGTACAATGTACTAGAAGGGGGCAGTGGAGTGAACGAGGCGGCCGCGCCGCATCTCCACTGATTCTCCGGTGGGTGACAGTAGCGGCGGCGCTGTAGACTCATGGTACTGAAGATCTCAGAAGCGTCTTCATTGGGAGCACGTGCGTTCGAGCCTGCGAAAGCGCGTAATTGCCCGTTTTCAGCGCCTTTAAAGCATTTCTGAGCCTTTATTAGTGGACGCACCTGCTACACGCCATGGTGCACGAGTCAATATGCAGGTACGCCGAATTAGCATCGATACATTCAATGTTTCAAGAGCCAGCCGACCCACACACACAAAGATAAGTCAATCGGAATTTGCGCGGATTCACCTAGCTTCTTACTCAATCAGCGCTTTGAGCTGCTTTACAAGATAAGTGGTTACTGGCAAACTACAAAGAAAGGAGAAGTATTAAAACCGTGATTAAATCATACGCTTGTTTTGTCGACAGTGTGTACAATAGCCTGAACAAAGTGTTCCTCACATGAGCCTGCATGCGCTCAATTGTTTCACGAGAAAACCGAGTATAAGTAACGTTGTCACAACATTATACGGTGACGACTCTGTTTTATTGTGCCTTTTTTGCGGAAGATAATAATTAGTGCTTACCGAAAGGCCTAATATATACTAAAGTTATTAAAACAACACACAAACGTATTAAAAAGTGCCACTTGTGTATATAGCCCGTCTGTTAGTCTGCGTAAATTCATTGTAACCAGTTCTCGTTTTGTATCGACAGCTTAAGTTGTGATGCTTTTCAAATATTCTGTTGGCGTAACGCCATTGCAAGCGAGCAAATTTATGACAATGTTTTGTATTATAAGCGTAGTTCTATTATTAAGTATCATTAGGTATTATTAAGTATTATTAGGTATCATTAAGTATTATTAGGAGGAAGAAGACGACGAAGCTGTTGCTGCTTGGCTAAGTAGCTCTGTCTGCTTTTATCGTTTATTTTTGGTTATATTACGGCTCAGCACTGCTCAAGACGTCAGACGACTCGAAAAGGTATCTTCCGTATCGCCGACCAACGGGTGCTGCGCAGCCCGCCGCGTCAGAAGGTGCTAGAAGAAACGAGACAAGCATCAGGGAGAGCGCCGCCATGACCTCCCAAGGTGTGACACCAGGTCAGAAGCACCAGCTGGTTTGCGCAAGCATACCTGACTGCAAGCGACAACACAGCGTTGAATCAGAGGACGAATCAGCTGTCGTCGGGGACCACAACGGGGCGAACCTCACAGATCAAGACATGGACGAGGGTGGTTTCCGCCTTGTGCGACATCGCAAAGACAGGACGGTGGGCATTCCTGTGTTAATTGCTCCAACATCCGAAGGAGCTAACTTGAGGCAAGTGAATCCTTTTCACCTATACTCGGAAATTGAAACGATTCTCGGTGGAGCCCCAGTTAAGAGCCGTTTCACAGCACTGGGAGCCCTGCTCTTGGATATAGAGACAGAACATCAAGCTAATATGCTTCTAGAGACCAACACTATCTGCGGCCTTCCCATATCTGCCCGTGTACCACACAGCTACATGAAAAATACCTGCATTATAAAAGAGGTCCCAAGATGGTACTCGGACGAAGAGCTGTTAACCTACCTGAGACCTCAGGGAGTATACCACGCAAGAAGAATCATACGACGAGTCCAAACCTCATCCACCGAATGGGAATCAAGGCGTACTGACTCTGTAGTTCTCACATTCGCTCCCAATTCTGAACGTCCAGAGAAGATCAACCTTGGCTTCACCAGACACGAGCTGGTAGACTACGTGGAGACGCCACCACGCTGTTTTAAATGCCAGCGTTTTGGACATGTTGCTAAGCACTGTCGTGGGGAACAAAGGTGTAAGCGCTGTGGGGAGCCTCATGACTTTAAGACGTGTACAAGCAAAGAAAAACTTGTGTGTGCAAACTGTGGCGGCGACCACCCAGCTAGCTACGGCCGATGTCCAGCACGAACAGCTGCGCAGCGAAGAAATAAGACATTTGTCCTCGGCCCGAAGACTGTGAACGAACCATCGCTCACAAAGAAGACGCCCGGCACGCCACAACATGGCGGTTCGGATAACGAGTACGCAGGAAATTTTCCGCGCCTAAATCCGACAAGAGCTGGTACTGAGTCAACGCAAGTGCTCAACGCTGGTGAGAAATGTATCATGAAAGAGTCCACCAAGTGCACCTACGCTGATGCACTGAGCCCATTTCAAGTACCATCTTGAAGCCAACAGCAAGAAAACCTCGAGCACGTTATTCGTGCTCTGTTCACAGCGCTACGTTCACACGTCGCTAAGATGCCTGCGAGTTCAACGAAGGATATGTTGGAAGCAGTCCTGGCTCTAGAGTCAGTGTTACTTTGCTCTGCTTCCACAAACACACAGTAGAATAATGGCACTGTCTCGCCCACCTGGTCTATTTCATCCTTCAAAAGTGCCCTTAATAATGCAATGGAACTGCGCCGGTCTTCTAAAACGCCTGTGCGAACCTTTTCCTGCGCGACATTCCAATACCGATTCTAGCCCTCTCCGAAGCCGGTCTACCGAATGCAAGGACGCTCCAAGGGTACACCCGACACGGCAACCCGAGCATAACGTCGTTTGCAAATGGAAGCGCAATGATATACATAAGACGGGAAATACCTCACGTCACCTTACCAGTGCAAGACCTCTGTTCCAACTCACTGGAAGTCGCTGCTGTGCAAGTGTGCCTGGGAAACCGAAAACTGAGTGTGGTATCGGTGTACATAAGCCCACGAAAAAAGGTCTCTATGGAGACTTTCCTAAAGGACCTCTGCACTCGATGTCCCGCTCCTCGAATTATCTGTGGTGATTTCAACGCGCACCATCCACTCTGGGGATATAAGAGTGTAGATTTTAGAGGCAAGGAACTTGTAGCAGCTGCAGATGCTGCCGACTTACATGTGGCGAACGATGGTAAACCTACATTTTTCAGGCCACCAGATTTATGGAGTGCAATAGACCATGTACTTCACTCCACGGACCTTCTGGTATCATCGACCACGGCTCCAGACAAGATGGGCCGCGACCATTTCCCCATCTTCACCA